AGATCTCCCAAGAAAATCAACCCAAAGAGGACCACACAAAGACACATAGTAATTAAACTGACAAAAAAGTAATGATAAAGAAAGAATTTTAAAAGCAATAAAAGAAAGCAGTTACATATAAGGGAAACCTCATAATGCTATCAGCTGATTTTTCAGCAGAAACTTTGCAGGCCAGAACAGAATGATATGATATAGTTCTAAAAGGACAAATATGCAGCCAGGAATACTTTATCCAGCAAAGCTATCATTCAGAATAGGAGAAATAAAGGGTTTCTCAGAAAATCAAAAGTTAAAGCAATTTATGACCATAAATCAGCCATTTAACAAGACATGTTAAACATCCAACCAAACTTTTTGCTTTTTTTTTAAATTTTTTATTTATTTATGATAGTCACAGAGAGAGAGAGAGAGAGAGAGAGAGAGAGAGAGGCAGAGACACAGGCAGAGGGAGAAGCAGGCTCCATGCACTGGGAGCCTGACGTGGGATTCGATCCCGGGTCTCCAGGATCGCGCCCTGGGCCAAAGGCAGGCGCCAAACCGCTGCACTACCCAGGGATCCCCCAACCAAACTTTTAACAAGAAATGTTAAAAGGGACTCTGAATAGAAAGATCATAAACAAGAGTAAAGAAGGTATAAAACACAGAAGCAGTAAAAATAAGTACATCTGTAAAAATCAGTCAAGGGACTCACAAAATAAAAGGATGTAAAGCATATCACCACCAACTTAAAATGTGGGGAGGAGAGGAGTAAAGAATGGGTTCAAAATTAAGTGACCATCAACTTAATATAGACTGCTATATGCAGAAGATGTTATATACAAAGCTAATGGTAACCACAAATCTAAAACCAGTAATAGATATGAAAAAAAAAAAACCAGAAAAAGGAAACCAAGTGTATCATTAAAGAAAGGCAACTAACAATGAAAGAAGAGAACAAGAGAAGAAAGAAACAAAGAAAAACTATAAAAATGACCATTAAATGAGTAACAAAATGTTAATACATTTAACATACTTATCAATAATTACCTGTGAACTAACTAAACACTCCAATCAAAGACACAGGGTGACAGAATGGATGAAAAAGAAAGACCCATCTATATGCTGCCTACAATAGGCTTATTTCAGACCTAAAGACATATGTAGATTGAGTCAAGAGTTGAAGGAACATTTATCATGCAAATGGATGTCAAAAGAAAGTCAGGGTAGCAATACTTATACCAGACAAAACAGACTTTAAGACAAAAACTATAACAAGAGACAAAGAAGAGCACCATATAATCATCAAGGAAACAATTCAACAAGAAGTATAACAATTGGGCAGCCCCGGTGGTGCAGCAGTTTAGACCACCTGCAGCCCAGGGCATGATCCTGAAGACCCAGGATCGAGTCCGACATCAGGCTCCCTGCATGGTGCCTGCTTCTCCCTCTGCCTGTGTCTCTGCCTCTCTCTCTCTCTAGCTGTGTCTCTATGAATAAATAAATAAAATCTTAAAAAAAAGAAGTATAACAATTATAAATATGCACCCACCACAGGAGCACCCAAATATTTAAAGCAGTTAATAACAAACATAGAAAGTATTAAATAGTAATACAATAATAGTAGGGGACTTTAACACCCAACTTACATCAGTGGATATATTATCTAAATAGTGGCTTCTAATGGCACCTTGGACCAGATGGATTTAACAGATATATTCAGAACATTCCATCCTAAGATAGTGGAATACACATTCTTTTCAAATGCATAGGAAACATTCTCCAGAATAAATCATGCATTAGACCACAAAACAAATCTCAACAAACTCAAAAAGATCAAAGTAATTCTATACATCTTTTCTGACCATGGCATTATAAAACTAGAATCAATCACAAGAAAAAAACTGGAAAGAACACAAATATAAGGAGCTTAAATTGCATGCTGCTAAACAATGAATGGGCCAACCAAGAAATCAAAGAGGAAATTAAAAAAATACATGGAGACAAATGAAAAGAAAACACAATCGTCCAAAATCTTTGGGATGCAGTAAAAGTTGTTCTAAGTGGGAAGGTTATAGCAATACAGGCTTACCTCAAGAAGCAAGAAAGCAAGAAAAATCTAAAAAAACAAAAAAAAAAAACAAAAAAACAAAAAACATGTAATTTATATCTACTGGAGCTAGAGAAAGAAGAACAAATAAATAAGACCCAAATCTAGTAGAAGATTATAACATAAATACATGAATTAGAAACTAATATAACAATCAATGAAACCAGTAGCTGGTTCATCAGAAAGATCAACAAAATTGATAAACCTTTAACCAGAGTCATAAAAGAGTGAGAGAGACAGAGAGAGAGAGAATTCAAATAAACAAAATCAGAAATGAAAGAGAAGAAATAACAACCAACACTACAGAAATACAAAGAATTATGAGAATATTATGAAAAATTATATACCAACAAATTGGACAACCTAGAAGAAATGGATGAATTCTTAAAACATATAACTTTCCAAAATTGAATCAGGAAGAAATAGAAAATTTGAGCAGATTGATTACTAGCAATGAAATTGAATCAAAACCATAAAATTCCCAACAAACATAAAAGTCCAAGACTAGATGTCTTCCCAGGTGAATCCTAACAAATATTTAAAGAAAAATTAACACTGGGGTACCTGGGGGGCTCAGTTGGCTAAGAATTTGACTCTTGATTTCATTCAGGTCATAATCTTGGGATCATAAGATTGAGCCCTGTGAAGAGTCTGCTTGGGATTCTGTCTCTCCCTCTTCCTCTGTTCCTTATCCTACTCACAGTCTCTTTAAATAAGTAAGTAAATAAATAAATAAATAAATAAATAAATAAATAAATAATCTTTTAAAAATTTTTTAAAAGATAAAAAAGAGTTAATACTTATTCTTCTCAAACTATTCCCAAAAAATAGAAAAAGACAGAAAACTTTCAAATTCATTATACAAGGTATGCATTACCCTAATTCCAAAACCAAATAAGAACACTATAAAAGAAACAAAACAAAACAAAACAAAAACCAAAACTATAGGCCAATACCTCTGATGAACATAGATGCAAAAATCCTCAACAAAAATAATAGCAAACCAAATCCAACAGAACATTAAGAAAATCATTCACCACAATTAAGTGGGGTTTATTCTCTGGATTCAAGGTGGTTCAATATTCACAAACCAATCACTGTGATACATCACATCAATAAGGGAAAGGATAAAAAAAAGATCATTTCAGTATATGCAGAAAAAGCATTTGACAAAGTATAACATCCATTCATGATAAAAGTCCTCAACAAAGTAGGTTAGAGAGTACATACCTCAACATGATCAAGGCAATATATGAAAAACCCACAGCTGATATCATACTCAAAAGTGAAAGAGTTTCCCCCTTCAGCTTGGGAATAAGGCAAGGATAATCCACTCTTACCATTTTTATTCAACAAAGTATTGGAAGACCTAGCCACAGCAATCAGACAAAAAAAAAAAGGAGTAGGATTTTCATTAATTGTATATAGCATGACACTCTACACAGAAAACCCTAAAGACTCCACCAAAATACTATTAGAGGTGTTAAATTAAGTCATAACTTTGCAGGATACAAAGCCAATGTACAGAAATCCATTGCATTTTTATACACTAACACAGAAACAACAGAAAGAGAAATTAAGAAAGTAAATCCATTTATAATTGCACCAAAAATAATAAAATACCTAGGAATGAACTTAACCAAGGAGATGAAAAACCTTTACTCTGAAAACTATCAAAGATTGATGAAAAAAATTGAAGATGACACAAACAAAAATGGAGAGATATTCCATATTCCTGGATTGATAGAAAAAAAGATTGTTAAAACGTACATATTACTGAAAGCAATCTACAGATTTAATGCAATCCTTATCAAAATATCAATAGCATTTTTCACAGAACTAGAATAAATAATCCTAAAATTAATATGGCATCACAAGGACCCCAAATAGCCAAAATAATCTTGAAAAAGAAAAACAATCTGGAGGTATCACAATCCCAGATTTCAAGTTACATGACAAAGCTGTAGTAACCAAAACAGTATGGTACTGGCACAAAAATAGACACATAGACAAACGGAACAGGACAGAAAGCCTAGAAACAAACCCACAATTATATGGTCAACTAATACTCAACAGGAGAGGCAGGAATATGTGATGGGGAAAAGAGAGTCTCTTCAACAAGTGGTGCTGGGGAAATTGGGCAGCTACATGCAAAAGAATGAAACAGGACTACTTTCTTAGACCACACACACACACACACACACAAAACTAACTCAAAATGAATTAAAAACCTAAATGTGAGACCTGAAACCATAAAAATTCTAGAAGAGAGTACAAAGCAGTAATTTCTGTAACATTGGCTGTAGCAACATTTTTTAGGCATGTTTCCTGATGCAAGGGAAATAAAAGCAAAGATAAACTACAAGGACTACACCAAAATAAAAAGCTTCTGCACAACAAAGGAAACAATCAACAAAACTAAAAGCCTACTAAATGAGAGAAGATATTTGTAAATAACATATCTTATAAAAGGTTAGTACCCAAAACATATAAAGAACTTAAGTGATTCAAACCCCCCAAATAATCCATTTAAAAATGCACGAAAGACAAATTAAATCTTTAAAAGCAGGGAGGGGGGAGCACCTGGGTATCTCAGTCAGTTAAGCATCTACCTTTGGCTCAGGCTGTGATCCCAGAGTCCCAGGATGGAGCCCTACATCGGCTCTCTGCTCAGCAGAGAGTCTACTTCTCCCTCCCCCTATTCGTGCTCTCTTTCTCTCTTTCAAATAAATAAATAGAATCTTTAAAAAATAGTTTTTCCTAGCAGTTTGATTTTTATTCACCAGATTCATGATAATTTGTCCACTGATTATGACTTTACTAATCAAGCTCTTAATAATTAGAGAGATAAAAAAAGAGAATGTAGAAATCTTTTAGCATGTGGAACATTGCTACAATACTTTCTCCTCACAAAATATTATTTTAATATTTCATGAGTTTGCATGTTATTCTTGTGCAGGGGCTAATATTCTCTCTATTGTTCCAACTTTAGTATATGTACTGCCAAAGTGAGCACAGAAAACATTATTTTAAAAGTAAATAGTGGTTCTGGTAGATTAAATTAAAATTTAGAGCAGAAATATAATGGATCAGATCAATGTTTAATGTTTCAGAAATAACTGGCAGTGATCTGAAGGATCTATTGCAAATAGGAGACCAGATAGGTAATATTTTAATGACTTGAACTCAGCAGCAGAGAGTGGGTGACAATTATCTGAATTTGAGAGATGTTCCAGAAATGGAGATGGAGGCTGGAAAAGAGGAAATGTTAAACAGAAAATCAAAACATAATCCCAAGTGAATAGCTGCAGTGAACACTATCTACTAACCCTCTCTCTTACCCCAGTGCTCCCTCCAAAGGATCTAGTAAGCCAGTAGTAGAAACATGTTCGGCAGTTTTTATTTATACCATTTTCCTCCTGGGTGATATAAAATCCTTCTCTCACGTCTCTGCTGCTAAGTAAAATCGCTCTGGTTCTACAAGGCTTGACTCAAGTGTTGTGTACCTCACCTCTCAGGCAATATCAATTACTTCTTTTGCTATGTCTCTGGAAAATTTAGTTCATGACTTTATTATAACCCTCCTAACATAATTATTTTCAATGGCAGGCTTCAGTCTATTCCACTAGAATAGAAGTGCTTACAGGCTTAATTTTCTTTGTTGTGGAAATGAAAGTCTCCTTATGTAAACTGCTATGTGTTATGTAGCATTAACTAGTCAAGACATATTTACCTACTCTTGTCATTCACTGTGCTCAGTTGCTGGTGGTGCAATAGTAAGTCAGACCATTATGGTCCCTCTAAACCTAACACCTAATAGATGACACAGAGATTCAAAGAAACTAATAAAACATGGTGTCATAAGCTTAATAATTATGATGATGATCGTGATTGTTATGTTAGTTAATAGTAACTGAGTGCTTTTTTTAGATTTATTTATTTATTTATTTATTTATTTGAGACACACAGAGAGAGGCAGAGACATAGGCAGAGGGAGAAGCAGGCTCCCTGCAGGGAGCCCGATGAGGGACTCCATCCCAGCCACTGAGGCACCCAGATGCTCCTACTGAGTGCTTTTATGAGCCAAGGATGATACAAGCACTGTACATGTATTATCAACGCCAACCCTCACAACATCTCTGTGACAGTTGAGGCAAGAGTTCTTTTATAGAGGTCAAGAGAACACGTATGTGTTCTAAGACTTCGAGAGTCAGCGAAACCTTCCTTAACAGAGAGACTTCTAAATTGAGACCTGAAAGAATGACTGGATATTCAGGTAAGAGAGAGAAGGAATGAAAGAGAAAGAGTCTGAGAGAGAGAGAGGGAAAGAATGTGTGTGTGTGTGTGTGTGTGTGTGTGTGTGTGTTCCAGGTACAGTTAGAGACAGGAGAAGTGTTTCTAACAGGAAGTAAAATCCAAAGTCTAATCGGTATATATATATTTAGTGTATGGATAATAGACTTTCTACTTCCAAAGTCAGAGTAAATCATGGAGCTTAATTCCTTTGGAAACAGTCACAAGAACTAAAAACTGGACCGGATCCATTGTCCTCATTTTACAGATAGAAGCACTGAATACTACTAGTTCAAGGAAATGAGTTCCCAGTGCCATGCAGAGTCATTGGCAGGAATCAGGCTCTGGGGCCAGTCTCTTTCCAGGGCACCCTTCTGGGACCTCTATGGATTGTCACACGGTTTCCACTTCAGCCAGCTAGCAATAAATGTATGCAGACAAAAACATGTTTTATAATTCCCAACTACCACATTCCAGCTCACATTCTTCCCTTGATTATTATTTAATAAGAAAAATATAAATTATAGAATATAATAGTACATATCTGTACTTAATCTCTAAACAGATGTGGTCTAGAAATGATTCCTTTCAATCTTCCCTTCAACACATCAGTTCCATCCTGAAAATGCATCATGACTTTTCATCTTGTAGGCTCTATTTCTATCTTAATCATATCTCTGATGGACAGTCTTAGTTTACTCCTATTTGGAAGTGGTTTACATCAGTTGTAAGAGTATGGCCTTTGGGGGCCGGCAGACTGGCATCCTGGTTCTGCATCTGCCACTTACCAGCTGTGTGACCTTGGGCCAGGCACATAACATGTCTGCATTACTACCTCACCTCATAGAGTCTTTGTGGGAATTAAGAGACCACATGCGTGTAAAGTACAATGCATAGTGCTTGATAAATGGTTAATTGTGAAAATTTTTGACTTGTGAGATGTATTTTTAACACCAAATTATAGAATAATAGCTGCTTTGACTATTACACCTTTACTTATAGGGTCTATAGACTGATAACATTCTTACTTGCCAAAATGAAATACTCATTTAGCTCCCACCGCTGGACAGTAGACTTTGCAAGATCAAGAACTATGAATTTCCTTTAGATTCTGGCATCTAGTACTATGATAATCACATGGTGAACACTCATATATATTGGTTAAGTTACCTATTTGGTGTCTGAGCCAAAGTTAAACTCAGGCTTCCTGAGTGTGTGTGTGTGTGTGTGTGTGTGTGTTTGTGTTTAACTACACCAAAAATTAAGGTAAAATAAAATTTTCTGATTCATTTTGTAAAAGCATATTCTGGGGGAAATTTGGTCTTAGAAATCTCAAGTTATTCTATGATGTTCCAATATGATGCCTTTTATTCTGCCTGAACCCCAGTGGTACAAATTCACATGAATATTAATAGCTGAGAAGGGAGTGAGGACTTCAGCTGAGTAGTTAGGAAGTGAGGCAGTGCTTAGTGTAAATACCCTGCTGGGTGGTGGATATACGGCATGGCTCAGTCACTGTGTTTATGCATTTTAAATTGCTTTCTTTACAACTCCAGTCCAGAGAAAATATAATCTCCGAGCCAAACTGGATAAGGGCATTCAAACCCACTAAAGTAAAATTGAGAAATCTCAAATAGGCACCATACCCCTTGAACTTGGCCACAGCTACTTATGTAGAAATAAATCCACAAAATGAGCTCCTTCAACATACTATACTTACCCAAACCATAACCTTATAAAGAGAGTATGAACAAATGTTATTTCCAAACCCACTTAAATCACTTCAGCTGTGGAGTTCCTGGCCCTAATTTTAGTAGCAGCATTAACAGTTGAGGGACATAATACTGTGGCTTGCAGATGTAAAATATCATAGAACCTGAGCAGTTTCTCCTGATGGGATGACATCAGATTCTCCCAATAACTGAATGCATGCTTTCTGGATTCATCTACTTTTTTTTTTTTTTTTTTACAAGCCAGCCATCACTGTATGTCAAAAAAAAGTGAGCAATGATTTTCCTTCCCCCTTTTTCTCTTGGGTCAATAATAAATATACATGGAACACATTATGGTTGGATGTACAAAATTATCCTTTAAGTTAACATTTATGAAGCAATTTGTTAGGAGACTAGCGGTGATGTGGGGTACCTTAGTGGCTCAGTCAGTTGAGCTGCTGGTTCTTGATTTTTGACTCAGATCATAATCTCAGGGTCCTAGGATGGACCCTGCATCTGGCTCCACACTCAGCGGGAAGTCTGCTTTGAGGCTTCTTTCTCTCCCTCTCCTGCTGCCCCTGCCCCTGCTCTCTCTCTCTCTCTAAAATAAATAAATAAATCTTAAAAGAAATAGCAGTGACGTGATGGTTTTCAGACAATATATTGTGTTAACTGCTTGAAAATACATAAAATTTAGGAGCTGCAGTTTCCATTCCTAAGTAGAAGAGGTATATTCTGATGTTTTGGCATGCTTAAATATTCAGTCACCCCCTGCCCTGTCTGTGGGAAATATGCTAAGAGCTTTTTGTTACTGCTTGTGAACTTCCTGGGCAAGTGAAACCCAGAATTCCATAGCCCTGATGCCAGTGTGTCTCGCTGCATTTGATGGATGCAAATAACCTTGTCTTTAATATTTTGATTGATCTGGAAGGTATTGCAAGGGATTTTTTGTCACAAGAGAATCCTACGGAAGCAAATCCTACTCTATACTTCATTCAGTTTACTCTCACTAATGCCTGATGACTTTGATATAGAAATGTCTCCTGAGTTTTCATATTCCACAATAACAGTACATATTTTAGGTTGGCCACTATCCAACAAATCAAAGTGAGCCTTTAAAAATAACATGTCTCAGGGGGTCCCTGGGTGGCTCAGCGGTTTGGCGCCTGCCTTTGGCCCAGGGCGCGATCCTGGAGACCCGGAATCGAGTCCCACGTCAGGCTCCCGGCGTGGAGCCTGCTTCTTCCTCTGCCTGTGTCTCTGCCTCTCTCTCTCTCTCTCTCATAAATAAATCAATAAATCTTAAAAAAAATAACATGTCTCCGTGTATCTCATTTTTCAGCAAACAAAACAAAAACTAAGTGAAAATAATAAATCTCTTCTGTAAAAATGTTAAAAGTCCTTAACACTAGGAAAACATATTTTCAAGAAAAGGACAACCAAAGGTCTGGTATGGCACAAGGAATAAAACTGCAAGTTAAGAAATGGAAACAAATTTTTCTTCCATCTACAAAACAAAGAAAGAAAAATCATAATCTGTGGCATGTGGTAAGGTATCCCTGTTGTGAGGTTCATGAAGCTTATGAGGTTCATGACTCAAAGTAGACAGCTTACTAAGGCACAAGAAATTATTTAGTTTTACTGGATGAGCCTTCTGGATATGTTTAAATGTATACAGTGAGCAAATATTTTAAAATATTTATATTAAACTTGGAATGTTTGACAGAATTGAAATTTGTAAGTTTTACATGGGGTCCTAGTCACCGCAAAGATTTTCCTCTCCTTTTTTTTTAAGGTTTTATTTATTTATTCATGAGAGACACAGAAGAAGCAGAGACATAGGCAGAAGGAGAAGCCGGCTCTGCAGAGAGCTTGATGCAGGACATGATCCCAGGACTCTGGGATCATAACCTAAGCTGAAGGCAGACGCTCAACCACTGAGCCACCCAGGTGTCCCTCCTCTCCTGTTCTGTTTTGTGCCCATATTTCAGATTTATTTTTCTTTCTGGAG